CCCAGCTCATCGGGAGGAAACCCTCTCAATGAACTGGTACATAGTCCAGCTCATCGGGAGGGTTTCCTCCCGATGAACTGGTACATAGTCCAGCTCATTGGGAGGAAACCCTCCCAATGAGCTGGTCTTAAGCCCATCTCGTCGGGAGGGATTCCTCCCAACAAGATGGGTTGTAAACCCTCTCGTCGGTACAAATTTCCAAGGCCAAGAGGGATTCCTCTCGGCCTTGAGCCATGTACAATCTCAAGGCCGGGAGGAACCCCTCCTGGCCCCAAGACTGTACAATCTTTCGGGGCTGGGAGCCCCAGGTCTTTTTCTTTTCTTTTTTCAACAGCCTCAACGGCTCAAGCCCTGGGCTATCCCATAAGACCCAGGCCTGGGTCCTATGGGATAGCCCAGGGAATATGTACATATGTATAAAGTATACACATGCACACTCCCATACTCCCCTCAGAAGGGGAGTGTATAGCTGTCCTCCCGGTCTTTGAGACTTGTACAGTCTCAATAGCCGGGAGGGAAAGCCCCTGGCCCTCCAGGCCAGGCGTGCAGGCCAACCCACCCTTTTTTGGGTGGGTTGTACTGCACACCCCTCTTTTTGCCAATGTCAGCAAACCAAGGGGCGTGCAATCAAACCCGCCCCTCAGAGACGGGAGGGTGGGATCACACACCCCTTTTGGAGGGGCGGGGGTGTGGGCGTGCGGGAGGGGGGAGGGTGTGCGTTTATCAACGCACCTACGGACAATTTCAGCCTAGGTCACCACTGGAAGCAACATTGGAAGTTACACCCCTACGGACGCATATCACAAAGCCAACACTCAGTCAAGCACATGTTGCAACCCTCAAACCACCTCTCAGTTATGCTTATACACATAATTTCCCACACCTCTTTATCTCCACCGCATATATTAGTTTGGTTTTATTTGTCACCTCATGCACTGCCTTTGCAGGCTGCTCAGTCTTGATTGAATTGCTTTTCCCACAGTTTATTAATTTTCTCACCTCATTTATGACAAAAGCTGAATTTTTCCCACAATTTATTTCCTCATTTGACACTTTCTCACATTATTTAAGCACTGCAGCACATCCTTTGACATTAATTGTACACAGCCTCGCTGGTTAATTTCCCTCACTTGCATGATCAGACTAGCTAAATTCACTCATTTGTACCTACAGGCCAGCTAAAATCACTCTTTCTTGTCTGCCCTGAAGCTAAATTCCCTCAATGCTTCCAAAGTCTCCGCTCCTCCAAGATTACCTGAATTCCTTTTGGTTCCAAGATTACTTGAATTCCTTTTGGTTGACCGGCTTGTTTAGGATCAGGGTGTGAAGAATCATAGCAGAATTGCTGTGGAAGGCCACGAAGATGATGGGGGATGATTGGGTCGTCAGAGGGAATAACTGAGTCTCGGAGTCAAGATTGTTTGCCGCCTGGATTGAGATTCATGTTCTGAACTCTCAAAGCTGTTTTGGAAAATGCACCATGTGCTGATGAACAGTCGAAAACAAAAATTGCCTGGGAGTCTGGGTGAAGGCTTTCAAAAATTGGAATGGCCTTGTTGGAGACTTGATCGCAAAGTTGTTCCATGTCCCACCATTTATCCCCATTTGACCCAGGATAAATGACAGTGGCAGCATCATTTGATTCAAGATTGAGTGCTTGAGCCTGTTCTTCAGGGAGTTTCAGCCTTCCTGTTGTTTCAAGAATAAAGTCTGAGATATGAATGAGCCGTCCAGCATTCTTTTCTCGGATTTCGCGGCTACCAGGAAGCAACCAGCTTGATTTTGGCTTCTCTTTTGCATGGACAGTCGATTTGTCATGGAATATGAAGACAGTTTCTTTTCCATTGCCTAGCGCTTCAGGGTTGACTTGTGCGGCATCTTCAAGATCATCACCCCCATATACCCTGGATCGCTTCCAATAAGAGAGGAAATCTTTGATATATTTCTTTCTGGATTCAAAAACATTGGGTTGTTTGTGCCCATCAAAGTAGAGGCACTTTTGATACTCTTGAGGTCGGTATCCAAGTTTGATCATCCAACAAGTTGAAGCACTGCAGCTAAGGCCTTCCTGAATGTTGAACTGAGGGAATAATTTGTCTATGACATGCTGGCGGAATGTTATCGGAGTCACCTGTAATATAAAAGGTAACCAAAGAGTCAGATTTTTCAAACAGAGCAATGTTGATACTTGACCAAGTATAACTCACATGACCAGCGACTTGAGATGCTGCCCACATGAAGAGTAATTTTTGAAGTTCTACATTGTCAAGCAAAGACTGATGATTCTTCCGATTTCCTTTCTTGATTTTGGAGAGGTGCTGGTTGTTCAGAATAGGTTTGGCCTCCCTTCAAATGGAACGAGACAGATATATTCCATTTCTCAATTTTGGAGGACCGGTGGTCAAAGGGCGCTGTTCTAGAGAGCTCTGAGCAGCTGCAAGTGAAGCTGTGACACTGGGAGAAGCGGTTCCGTTGAGTGAGTACTTGAGTCAAAGGTTGTTCATCATTGATTGTGGAAACTTGAACTTTTTGTGTCTTTCTTTACTTTCTGCTGGTACCGTAAAGTGGCTGTGTTGAGTGCTTCCCACTTGGCCTGAGCCTTTTCTACTTTGGTGGAGGTTCGAGGTTTCGTTGGAGCTGAAAGCCGTTGTTCTAATAGGCAAGCAAGTCGGGCATCAACAGAATCACGTTCGGCTCAATCCAGACAAGAATTGGAAACTGTACTATCAGTCTGAGTGGCAGCCGCAAGATCAGGATCAATGCCTGCATCCAATATTGCAGCTTTAACAGGCTCCAATTGGATGAAATAGTTTTCAAACATTGTATTGTTTGTTCCAAGAGCTTGTATGCGTCGATTTTTCCTGTCATGTTTGGTCTGCTTGGGAATAGGGGCTGGGATAAGTTTACTAGAGGAAGAATTTGGGTTCTTGACTGGTTGTTGATAGGTCTTCTTTCCAGATTTTAGTCAACGATGCTGAACAGCTTCTTGGCTAACAGAGATTCCAGTGGAGAATATTGGCCACAATCCTTGAAATTGTTTGTCCTCATCTTCAGTCTCATCGCTATTGTTTTCTGATGTTTCATCATCCATAGCAAGATCATAGTACTGAACTAAATCATTACCTTGATTTCTGCTTCTTGGAAGTCAAAAAGTTCTGGATCGGTTGTCTTGGTGTTTGTTCGTGGCCGAGAATTATTGATGGAAGGTTTGACAGTCTTTGTCTGAGTGGGCTCCCGATGTACCGTGGCACCAGCTTCGAGGATTTGGAGTCTGTCGTCATTGATGGGGCCAGCATTGAGTACTCGAACTCTGCCATCACTTTTATCTTCAATGACGTGAACCACATCAATGTCACTGTCAGAATCAATAAGAATTGGAACAGGAGCTGATCTTTCATCTTTCCTTGAATTCTTAGTCTTAATTCTGCTGGATTGCTTTGGTTTCTTGGTTTTTATCCTTACAGACTTAGATTCCTTCTCATCTTTCTTGCTTTTTTCCCTACGGCGCCGTCTTCTTTGTCCCTTTTTGGCTTTTGAGAATTTAGTGTCTGTTGTTTCTGAATCTATAATAATGATGGTGGAGGGCCAATCAGTTTCTGATGATTAAATGTGTATAACTAGTGTGAATGTTGATTTTATGGAGATACTTACTCATGAGGAAGTGAAATGGCTGGATCCAGCTGTAGCCAAGAGGCTCCCCCTGACTGAAATTCTCAAGCCTGGACGTGTGTTCCAATGGATTTGGAGCTTTGCCAGGTTTTTGGTGAGGATTCTACAGTATCCCCACTCAACAAAATGCAGGCCGCAGCAAAAAATTTAGAATTTTTTTATCTCCAATTGTCCGGACCCCCAAAAAAATATGGTCGGTTTATGACGTTTGCAACTGTAGTCCTCTTCTTTCTGATGGGATCCAGAAAGACTTTCATGAAAAAAAAATCGAGGATAAGCCAATATGTTAGCAAAACATCCTAGGATGTTTTTCTGACATAATCACGGGAGGACTTGCCTGCCAGTCAAGAACCAAGAATCAAAGAATATCTTGGTTCTTGATTGGCGGGCAAGTCCTCCTGCCCATCTCTGAGGGGCGGGTTCTTCTGCCCGCCCCTCGGAAGCCTGTTTCCTTGGGAAATTAGCATTCCGAGGGGCGTGCGATCAAACCCGCCCCTCAGAGACGGGCGGGTGCAATGGCACACCCCTTTTGGAGGAGCGGGGGCGTGGGCGGTGTGGTAAGACCAATCAAAACCAGTCACACTCTACAAGCACCTTTCTGGACCATTTTCACACCTTCTACATATCATAACAACCATCAAACCAACACCTTAAATATGTAATACACTCATGGCCACCTTCAATCATCCCACAGACACTCCCATCAGAACCACAAAGTCCAACAACCCATCAGTAACACTCCACATGGATCACCAGCCACACTTGGTAATAAAATAAGTACAAATCAGGTAAAAAGTGGGAGAAAGTACACCAGCAGAGAGAGCCAGACTATTAGGAAAGACCCCTGTTCTTCATCAGCTTGGTTTCTCTTTATTACACACCATGTCAAATTGTTACAGTAGCCACATATGTCATGTTTCCATCCCTGTTTCTTTAGCCTTGTTTCAACCTTGTCACACATGCCAGTACCAAGCCTGTCTCCCAAGCCATGTTGTTGCCTTGTTACATGTACCTTGTGATGATGCCTTGCTCCTTGTTTTCTTATTCCCCCCAGAAGACTTATATGTAGTGCTCTCTTGGCCCTTGCCATTTGTCCCCCATCAGAGTTGTCATTATTGCTCCCTGGTCATTGATTTAGCATTACTTACTTGTAATATATTTAGCATTACAGAATTAAGACATTTCACACAGAACTATTATCCTCATACCTTACCCTTTACAAATCTTACATCTTCATTTAGTCACACCTTTCCTTAAGAGTCCATACTCTTATTTCTTGTTCTTCTTACTCTCCCAGTAACCAGAGAGGCAGCCCTTCAAGCATTCATCCCTCTCTAAGCTCTATTCCTCCCAAGAGTAGTTCCACAGCGGGCAGGGAGAGGAGGGCAGTGCGATTATCAACACACTGTCCGTAGAGTCCATTTCTGAAGCCATATTGGTTGATTTCTGAGTGAATGTATGAGAAAAATGTATAAATAGGAAAAACTTTTGAATTTTTTACATATTTAATTACCACACTGTGGAAATACACATTCACAGTAGTTGATTTATTGCACAAGAACGGTTTCCTCAATGAAAAGGAGCTCAAAATCTTGTTACAAGAAAAGGAAATAGCAAAGAAAGTAATCTTCTACAGCAATGAGCTTTTCACGCACAAGTTGTTTCCAGCCGGCTTACCTGGGCCTTGGGAGCACCTGAATGATTCTTTCAAGGGTATCAATTTTCATTTTTATCTTGGCATCAACCCACTCACTGTAACCTACCAGAGAGCACTTGCAAACTTCAACTGACCTAGTTTGATTTGCATTATCTTGATAGCCCTTGATGCGGAAACCAGAAATAGGATTGAACCTCCTTAAATTGCCTCACAATTGATGAGAAAATTGTCTCTGTTGTGTCACCAATCAACCCTTTTTTATTCTGGATTATAGCCCTGGATGCAAAATCCAGAAATAGTCAACAGAAGTCTTCACCAGAGAAGGGTAAGTTGTGTCCTCCCTCTTGTGTTGTCACTTCATTTTTTTTGCTCATTAGAGCTTCACCTTGACTGTGCTTTGCTAGGTTATTGCTGAAGTTGATAGGGGTGTGCTGATCCTAATGCGGGCTCTCATTAAATCTACCGATGATCCTGGAAAAAGTCTCACAACAGTGCCAATCAACACTCAAGATAACAGATGTGTTGTCAGAAGAAGATCGCCGCCTCTACCAGAGGGGATTCCTTCCGGTTGATGAGGCTGTTCCACCTCATTGATTGGAAGGAATTCCTTCCGGTTGATGGGGTTGTTATACCTCATCTACCAGAAGGAATCCCTTCCAGCTGATGAGGTTGTGAGGTTGTTGTACCTCATTGACCAGAAGGAATCCCTTCCGGTCGATGAGGTTGTTATACCTCATATCCTACAAGTTCTTGGTGAGGACAAGGAGGACACAGCGTGGTTGGATAACTGAAAGAGAATTCTATTGAGGAGTGATGTCATATGTACTAGTGGCCTTTGGGTTGGAGGGATACGTCCGAGTACCATCGTACTCAGACTTCAACACTGCACACCCATCAAACTTGACCTATGGGTCTGCACACCAATCAAAATTGGTGTACGGGTCTGCACACCAATCCAAATTGGTGTATGGGTATGCCAAATTGGTTTACGGGTCTGCACACCAATCCAAATTGGTGTATGGGTCTGCACTAGAGATGGTTGCGGATATCCGCTATCCGCTGGCGGATACCCACCAGTGCCAGCGGATACCTGCCAGCGGGCGCGGATTTGGGTGCAGATGTGTCAGGCTAAGTGATGCCAAGAGCAGAACTCTTCTAGCTACACTAGCTGCAAGAGTAAGAATAG